AATTGTCAGAGCATAAGGTTGGTCAATGCCAAGGTGACTGGCACACATATTGTGCACCTGTCATTCCTATATTACCAGCCTCTAATGACTGTGGGATTTATAGAACTCTGACAAACTATGTTGGGCGAGATATTGTAAACCGGCCTCTGAATATAAGCCAGCTAGCCCTGGGCTTGTATTCTAATACGTATGGCTAAGCTGCATTAATAAATATACCTGGAGCCAATTGTATCAAGCCTGTTTAGCTTAAATGTTGGTTAAGCTCAAAATAGAAAGCAAGTCTATAGATTCATTCAACAACCAAACTAGAAGTTTTGAACCTTAATAGAATGATGTTTACAACTACATATTCAGTGCAGAATATTTAAGTTGACTGATTCATGAGAAATTAAGCTAAACGGGCTTGATACAACCGGCCCCTGTCAAATAATATAAGCCCATGGGCTTGTACACACAGGCCTGGCTTTAGAGGGGGGAGGGGCTTATATTCGGAATAGCCTGAGCGTTAGTAAATATGATGGGATTATACACAGGGGGGCTTATATTGGGGGGGGGCTTATATGTTTATGGTAATTGCTTGATTGCAATGGGTATTGAATGGTTTGAACCTGATGTCTTTGGCCTAGCCGCCTAGCTAGCAAAGTATTTGTTCACTTGTCTACATGTCATGTAAGTGAGATTTCATATAACTACACAGTAATTATAAACAACTGCTGGCAAGAACCTGGCAAGGATATCACTCAAAGTTTGTCAAGGAAAATTTAATATACTAAAATACTAAATAAATACAAGTGTGCAGACACTACAGCAAGGACTTTGAAATCATATTAACCAGCCATGAAACCCTACGCAAATACAGAGGGCCGAGGCTATAGCAGTAGTAGTAGTACCAAATCAAAAGAACAATAAAATGTACAGAATTGCCAACCATTTACAGGTTGTTACAGTATGTCTGCTAATAATTTGCTGTTCATATACTTTTATGTTCGTAGTATTATAAACTTTGTAGTTTGTACTTCTGCTTCAAATTTTCTACAATATATAAAATCTTACCGGTGAATAAAAAGATTCTTCTTGTACATCTCATACATCTACGAGCGGCGCAAAAAGGCAGGATCCTCGACATTGTAAATCAACCAAGTTATAGGAGAAAAATATCAAGATTTTCAGTGCGATTTTTACCTCAAAAACAAGCGAAATCATAAAATATCTGTGCTGAAACCAGGGGGGTGAAGTACATTGTCGAAAACCTAGGATCGCGGTTGGGACAGTGGTAGTTGCCATGAATTTAGGGACCAGTAGTCATGGCAATGGCGTCAGATCCGCCATGTTTTTGGCTTCACTTTTTTTCCCCGAGCAGGTCCTCCAGTAATATAGTATAGCTCAGTGGTTCGATCCAAAAAAACAATTATTGGACGCTGATGACGTCATCGGCGGAAAATACGTAATAAATGCCGAATACTGAAAATTAGCCGGTGCTTTCTGACCAATTAGAAACGAGAATACATATTAAATGTATAATAATATAAATTATTCACTCTGATATAAAACTACTTGTTTCACGTTTATGAATTTATCAATATTATTTAAAAGATTGTGCAATCTTTTGTGAATTGTGAAAAGATTGTCATATCAACTCAATAGCTGACCAAATATAGAGTTTTTACATAATATTCAACGGAGTGACGTCATAACGTTGATTAGGAAAAAATCATATTCAACGGAGTGACGTCATACTGTCGAAATACGAATACGAAATGTGGAAACACGCATAGAGATTATAAATAACACATAAATAACATCTAAATAACATAGTGTTATTTCTAATCTCTATGCCCTATGGAAACACGAACAAAACAATATGGCTCCGCCTTCGGTCATGTTTGTAGGATTAGAGGAAACAACGTTTAAAATATAAAGAAGAAATATAGACAAAAACAAATACGAAAGTTTTCAGTCAAACATTATGAAAGAAAAAAGGAAAGACTTTCTGCCGCAAATGGGAAAAAGAGCTTGTCATTATTCCGACGAATTGGACATACAGGTGCGGATGTCTCATCTTTTAATTAAATAAATAATAAAACAAATATTGAATTCAGCTTCGGTTGATAACACAAACGTCGGGCTTCAAAATTCATTATATCATGCTCAAGTGCTCAACACCTAGGAATGTTCGGTATACCGATATAGTATACAAATTTCCGATACATTGGAATTTTTCGGTATACCGTACCAAATTTACACACCGCGCATATGGGGAAATCATCAATTTTTGTTTTACTCAAATGCAAAGTAAAAGAAGTACACGCTTCGAAATTATCGTAAACCGTGTTTCCACTTTTCAAATTATTCAAAATCAAAATTTCCTTCAAGTAGAATTCTACTAGGGAATTTTCCTATCTAATTTAAAACGTGAAAAAACGGTATACCGATAATATCGGTATTAGAGACATTACCTATTAGAGACATTAGAGACATTACCTAGACGTCTCCGCATTAGAAACATTACCTATCATAATCACAAGGATCACAAACTACGGTGACTCTCGCATGATTCTTAGCAGCAGCTCTTAGCAACGTTACACCACCTATAAGTAAAGAAGTACAAAAAATCATATTACTAGATTACATTGCTGTCGAAGGAACTAGACTCAGTTCCGAAACATCACATACTCGAACCGACCTGACCGCGTAGCTCAGTTGGCAGAGCATTGGGCTAGCGTTCCAAAGGTCGTAGGTTCGATTCCCACCGTGGCCAGGCATATTTTTCAAGCTTGCCCGGTGTGGATACACACTCAGAGTAACATCACAAACATCAAGTAAAGAAGTAATTTAAGGGATCCAATAATCTTTCCTTGCAGCTGGGGCACTGAATTGGAAACGACACACTTACTTCGATGTTTGAATATATAATTTGAATTTTATAACTTCGCACCTACCAATGTCAATTTGTTCAACAGCGTCTGACACTGATACGCCATCCTTTGATATCGTATCTTCAAACGGATATAAGTTATTAACGACCACACTAGAATTAAATAATATTTTTTATATTAGCCTGGGACACGCTATTGAATTATTTAAAGAGTTCAGAAGGGAAATTTGAAATAACGTGATAGCTGGTACAGTTAGACCTCTACAGTATGGAAACCGAAGAACAGAGTATTAAAAGTGTCTGTGTCAGAGAGGCATCAGAGTGTTAAATTACACACCGCGGTATGTTTAATTACATACAGAGGTGTGTCAAATAAGACACAAAGGTGTGTCTTGTAATATTTACACACTAAGTACACCATGTGTTAGAAAACACACCATTGTGGTGGTTACAAAACACAGGAAGGTGTTTTAAATTGTCTTTTGTTAGCTTTGGAACACAAGATATAATTATCGGTGCGAAGGCGGGATGGAGCTAGCTATAAATTGGTTGCGGTGCCAAAACGAAGTTTGGTATCGTTTTATATTCGCAGCGTGGTTTATTATACTATGTCTGGTTTTTAATTTTTATCTAAAAATGCCTAAACAGCTGTCAAAAGTACAGATATGGACGCCACAACGAATAGGAAAACGTTAGTATATAAATACTATACTTTAAATCTGCATGGCCATGGGATATATACCAATCAACGACCAACTTTAAAATGTTTAAATAAATCACTACAGTATGCTGAACTTTATTTTACCGCAAACCTGATATATTGAAAGTTTTGTTTCTTCATATCCTCTTCGTCTTCTTTAGTCAACCGTGCAAGAATGCCTAGAAAAATATCCATGTTTTCTTAAAAACAGGCTTGAGTAAAGGTGAAGCAACACGAGGAGCAAAACTGCTACAATTGCAACAAAAGTTGATTTCAACGCATGTTGATCCAGCAACACTCCCAACCTCGTACCCAGGGTCTTTCCTCTTGGCGAGAGGAGAAAACACCCTGGTAGACGCTGGTCACGTGATCTGCTAAAATCTAGCAGATTTTTAATTAGCAATCCAAGATGAGGTCAATAAATATTTGATATTTGGCTGATTTTTATAGTTTAATTTATTTATAATTTGTATTTTGTATGATTGTCGTAAAGGAATCCAAGATAGTTCATTAGAAATCTGATAGATTTAAGCAGATCACGTGACCAGCGTCTACCAGGGTTTTTCTCCTCAAGAGGAAAGACGAGGAAAGACTCTGAGTACCACGAGGTTGCACCCACTTTTTTGGACGCATGCAACCTAAGACTTGTTATAATTATACAATGTATCCATTTACCTGCATGCACCGCTGGATGTAAAGTTTTCACTCTTCCACCAAGCATTTCTGGTGCTCCAGTAATCTCAGAAACATCCCTAAAGCATGTACGAGTCATATACCCAGTGGTTCACTATAGTGGTTACTACATGTGCTATAATGAAGTTAGCAGAAAACTATCGTAAAGCAAATTAAGCTACGTAATTTGAAAGTGATGACTATGTACACTGTTTATTAAAGTACAACCCTTATATTACCCTTAACCTTATTACAAAATGTGTACTTTCGTTCAAATATAAGGTTCACTCGAATCATTGCATGGTTAAATCCAGGCCCCATTAAAGATAAAGTGAATTGATCTTGTCTCTTAATTACTATATGACCCGGTCTTAGGAGATGACAGATCAGAGGCGCCGGAGAATCGATAATTGCAGATATTCATATATTTGTGTTCTGCCCAATTAATTTCTTTTGAAATCGATCGTTTTTACAGTCTGTGAACACGAATATATGAATATCTGCCCTCGCTATTATCGATTCTCCGGCGCCTCTGTGACAGATGATGATGATGGCAATCATGGCATGCATGCATACATTTTTTCTGCGGGTAAGAGACATGTAGGCTTGCTCAAACGTATCCACATTATTGGTCCAACAGCATCTACAAATGTTCAAATGATTGTTTTATGCGGTTTCTTTCAAAGATTTATATATTAGTGTACCCATAACGGATATATGCACAAGTTATAGGTAAATGTTGGAAATTTCCAATATTTAATAGTTAATGTTATACCTATAGTTAATTAATGCAAGCGGAAATGTCAATCAAAAAAGCATGCGGTTATACTTGTCACGATTTTGTTGATACCGGGCGAGAATAGATATATTTTTCAAAATTGTTGTGAATATAGGAGGCAATTCACGGCACAGTGGCACCTTAGACTTGCTCCAAGTCTCTCTTTCATTGTCACATAGTATCGATCCACTAGTGCACATCACATGACGTAGCACGGAGAGGCGGAGCGAGAAAGAGAGACTTGTCAACTTCGGTAAATCTCGGTTCAAAACTGAACTTGCTTTAATTGTTTTCTGACAGTGTTTATATGTATTGATCTAGCACAGTGTAAATAACATGAGTTCCATTATAGTAAATAATACAGAAAGAAATTGAAGGAAAACAATCAAAGCAAGTCTTGCATTTTCGGTTCAGTTTTGAACCGAGATTTTCCGAAGTTGACAAGTCTCTCTTTCTCGCTCCGCCCCTCCGTACTACGTCATGTAATGTACACTATAGTGGATCGATACTATATGACAATGAAGAGTGATTTGGAGCAAGTCTAAGTGGCACCTCCGAACGGGATAAATCGTGATTTAGCTAAGGAAAAACCGAACAAATAATGACTAAACAAGACCGATAAGCGTCTGGGCGTCAGCAAGAATCTATTGAGAATGTCACCAAAGCGATAATCAATCTTAAAGAAACCATAGAAGAAAATAAATTTTCCAAGGGCGAGAGCGAAGAAGACGTCGCAGAATGGGCTGAAGAATACGAAGACGAACTTGCTATAGCGGACGAAAATGTACGAAGATTGGCTCAACAAATTAAAGAAATCGATCGCCGAGAACAACACGAGAAGACAGTACAAGACTATCGTAAGAAAAACCTTGAATTTAGCGAGAATTACTCCAGCAAAGGCTGAATTTGAAAACGAAAAAGCAAGCGAAGTAGAAAATAGCGAACAATGTAAACAAAATTCTGGCGCTAAATTACCAAAGTTACCTACAACAAAATTTGACGGCAAATTCGAATCATGGTTACCGTTTTGGGAAAAATTTACGTCGGAAATCTTATCAACGAAAATACCAACCTTAACAAAGTTTGCCTACTTATTAAAGGAATTACTTGACGAGTCTGTACGTTGTGACATTGTCGAAGTGGGATACTCAAAAGTCAAAGATATTCTCGAAACCGAATGCGGACAGTCAGCTGAAGTTGCGAATGCATATACTGTATAGTAAATATCACCAATCTACCGGTAATTTCAGGAACAAATCCTACCAATTGTCAACCATTGAGATCAAGGGAACATCGGGTAAATGTTCTATGAAAGTCGAAGTCGCCAAGGTGAACAAAGGAGAACTTGTGTTCATAGACAATCCGAGATATCAGAACATGATAGTAAAGGAGTCATCATGGAAAACATTGATCAGAAAGAGCGGCTTGCAGTACACATCGGGAATCTGATAAACCATGGATGACGTCATCGCTTAAGTCCTCCATTAGTAAGCGGCAAAAATCACTTCATAAGTACGGAAGAAATTCACAAGCATATAGAATTTGGCGCAATAGAGTTCAACGGGATGTTAAAGTGGCACGTAGAAAGTACTATGCAAATTCCGTGCAGAAGTTGAAAAGTGCAAACCCTTCCAGATGGTGGAAAGAGGTTAAATTCCTACGGGGCCTCTCTTCTCGGGAATCTTGGGTATATCAACTACTTTCTGAAGCAAACCCCAACTGTGAGGACCTTGCTGAGTCATATAACGGATATCTTGTTGGACTTACTTCGCATTTTAAACCCTTGCTAGAATGCACCGACGACCAGGAGACAGAAGTTCCCAATCATCTACTCGTAAATATAGGGCAAGTTTATTCAGTGTTGCGACGTCTTAAAACGACGAAGTCTCCTGGCCCAGACGGTATCCCAAATAGGATCCTGAAAACCTTCGCTTTTGAATTTGCCCCTGTCATAATGGACATTTACATGTACAATACATCAGTGCTTCAGGGAGTCTTCCCTGAGCAGCTAAAACGTTCTATCGTCGTTCCCATTCCAAAAGTGTCACCACCTCAGACTATTGAGGACGATTTAAACCCTATCACTCACAGCTCAGGTATCTAAAGTGATGGAAGGATTTATGCTACAGTCCCTCATGTCGGAAGTGGGTCATAAATTGGACCCAAATCAATTTGCTCTTCCGAGAAAGTCAACCACTCAGGCACTCGTTATCTCCTCCACGTGATTCATGCTGCTTTAGATCAAGGCCACTGCTCTGTAAGAATCTTTTTTGCTGATTTCAAAAAAGGTTTTGATCTCGTCGACGATAATGTCATTATTGATGAACTTTTAAAATTACAAGTGAGTCCTGCCATTATAAGATGGATAAATTAAAGTCGTTCCTTACCTCCCGCGAACAGTGTGTAAAAAACGGATCATCCTCTTTCTCATGGAAACCCGATAACGACTTAACGGTGGCCTACCTCAAGGAACTAAACTTGGGCCTCTTCTCTTTGCCATTTTAGTCAATTCCCTCCTACAGGACTGGAATGGGCGGATAAAGTTTGTAAACGATTCTACTGCACTAGAAATTGTTCCACGTTGCTCTCCTAGCTTGCTACCTATTCTCGTAAATGATGTATCTCAGTATGCCTCAAGTAGAGGAATGAAGCTTGACAGTAAGAAATGTAAGGAGATGACAATATCCTTCCTCCAATACCACCTTCCACTTGATAATGCGATCTATATAGACGGTTCGCCAGTGCAATCAGTATCTTCCTTTAAACTGCTCGGTGTGCTGCTGAGAGAGGATCTATCTTGGTGTGATCATGTTGACTATGTGATTAAAAAAGCAAATTCCAGACTCTATGCATTGCGGAAGTTAAAAAAGGCTGGGTTAAGCGATAAAGACCTTGTCACTATATATTCCTCCTTCATTCGGTCCCGAATTGAGTACAAGCCACCAGCGTGGTCAACGCTGATCCAAGGCCAGTCTGACCTTATCGAATCGATACAGAGAAGAGCATTACGTATCTTGCTTCCCGAAATGTCGTATCAAGACGCATTGAATTATACCGGTCTAAAAAAGTTAAGTACACGTAAACATAATTCCTGCGAACAATTTATCCGGAAATTGAAGCTTGACATTGGTCCTATAAATCCTCTTAAGGATGTTGTTGCAACTCGTATACATCCAACTACTCATAATTATAATCTTAGGTCCGAATCAAGCTGGTCACTCCAAACGAACACAGAAAGGTTTCAAAATTTTATAACTGTTAAATATAATTATTAATGTATTATTGATTTAGTAGTACTCGTGTATATTAACTCAGGTACCCAATTATAATTTGTGGACAGATTTAAACTGACTATTCAGAACGAACATTGAACGGTTTGAACTCAATTTTATCTGTAAAGTTAATTTTTAATGTATTTGTTTATAATCATGTAATTCAGTCTCTACTGCAATGTGATTAATTAAACAGATTATTATTATTATTATTATTATTATTAAACAATAATTCACAGTTGCAATCGACGAAAAGAATGAGATCGACAACGTATTACAGAGATTTCGAGGAACAGAACGCATCAAGGGACGACTAACAACGGATGAAACTGAACGCCAAAGACAATTTTGGATTAAACAAACCCAAGAGAATTGTGATCTCGAACAAGGCTGCATCGTGCTGAATTTACAACCTGGCAAGGATGGCGTGTAGGAACGTCGTGGTCGGATACAGGCAGAATACCCCACTTACCTTCCAGACACCCACCAGTTCACCCACAAAGTCGTTGAAGAAGCACATCTCGTAACACCACACGGTGGAGTCGGACTATGACCAAAGTTCGCAGCCGTTGCTGGGTACCAAGACTAAGTAGACTGGTTAGAAAAGTAACGCAAGAGGTGCCATGGGTGGAAGAGATTTACAGCAACTGCTTATGCAACACAACCACCAGAGATCCTACCAACAACACGAACCCAAGGAATCATCCCCTACCAAGTAATTGGAGTAGATTATGCTTATGATTAATCAGATAAGATGGTAGTTCAATCTTAGTCGCGCCCCGTCGTGGGGTGGGCAATTCGAAAGGATGATTGGGCTCGTGAAAGCAGCGTTAACCATTGGAAACGGTTTCCTGCGATGGAAATAGTTAGAGGAAGTATTGCTTGATGTCGAGGTGGCGTTAAATAACCGTCCGTAATCTTAAACGTGAAGTACTGATGACGTGCAATTTTCGGTGTTAACACCAAATTCGATGTTGTTTCTGAATGGTAATATTTTACCCGAATTGCAGCGACATAATATTGAGGACGATGACCTTAGAAAACGAGCGAAACACTTGATGAAATGCAAAGCAGCGCTTTGAAAACGGTGGACCCGACCCAGGAATATTTCCGTAGCCTTCGTGAGAGACACCGTTCGAAAGCAAAATGTCATGGAGCAGTGCCAGCAGTACAAGATTACTACATCTCCAGTTGTAGGAGATGTAGTAATTATTGCAATAGATGTGAGAAAACGTGGTCGTTGACTCGTTGGCCGTTAGGAATTGTGGAAGAATTGATTGTGGGAAAAGATGGAAAAATCAGGGGAGTCAAAGTACGCGCAAAAAAGTCTCAAATTGAGCGTGCCGTGCAGCATTTGTACCCACTAGAGCTCTCGGTTGACAAGAAAGAACCAGTACCGGCAATACTCAACCCGAAAGCGGACACATTTAGAGCGAAGCGGGATGCTGCAGTGGCGGCCAAATTGCGTGTTCAGGAGATCGTGGAGGATGAACAATAGACTTAATTTCAAGTGAACATTTGAATACTAAAATGTGAACAGTCAGAACAATTTAGAATATATTGATGGTAACATTTTAGTTCAGTTGTATCATTGGTCAATCTCCTCCAGGTGTATGGGAGGACGACATTCATCTCAAATAATAGATAAATGGAAATGTTGGTGATTGCAAATATTTAATATTTAATAGTTCATGTTATACATATAGTTAATTAATGCAGGTGGAAATATGAATAAAAAAGCATGCGGTTGTACTTGTCACGATTTTGTCTAAAAAAATATGTGATAGTGTTGAGACCGGGCAAGAATAAATATATTTTTCAAAATAGCATTAGATCATGACATTTCTACTTTCAGTGAGTTGTTGTGAATGTAGGAGGCAATTAACAACAGTAAATTCAAAGTCCTGTGTGATGATCGTAGGAGTTAGCAAGAAAGGCCAAATAAATAATGTCAATGAGGACTGTGATAAGACTACAGTAAATATACAGTATTTTTAATTTATAAAACATAAAAAGACATTAGAAAGAAAAGGGACTAGATGCAGGGAAGGAACTCAGTAAGAGAGTCAAAAATGGATGAATTGATAATGCATGGGGAAATGGGAATGGTTGCATGTCTGCATGCAAGTTAAACAAATCAAGCAGCCAATAATAGTGACAATTCAGGAGTAGTGGATTGTAGGGTTTGCCAAATTGTTCAGTGTAACTACAGTATAGAGTGATGAAAGAGAAAAATATGTTTAAAAATGCATACTTGACAGGAATATCAGCATTTCGTATTGCTTTGGCTGTGCCTCCAGAAGCAATTAACTCTAATCCAAAATTGTGGAGTTTTTTTGCAAATTCAACCAAACCTTCTTTATTTGACACACTCAAAATTGCTGTGAAGAAAAAAACCTTTAATTATGGTGATTTAAATTATCTTATATGTAGTTAATTTTTAGTGCTAATTTCAACACAGGAAACTACCATAACAATTGTGGATATTTTATGCTTAATTTGTTCCAAAATAAATTGCTAATTAATACAGTATCAGTTAAAACAATATGTGAGACTGCACAGTGCCTAGCACTAGCTCCTGACAACACAGTTCATTATTATTTTGAGTGCATTAAATAAAATCAGGTAGGAGCATGCAGTTTGACAGCTACATATGCAGTCAATTTCAACTTCATTTTGATGAAATGTACCAACTTTAGTCAACTTTGATGTCTTCTTTGGTAAGTGGGTATTTATCCATTCCCTCATTACTACCAAAATATTTTTGCACACTTTACTCATGATATACATATTATGTGTGTTTCAAAATATCTCTTGACAGTTTTCCATATTACCCATTGACTGCCAGCCAGCACTCCCCCTCCTTGACGAATAAAGTCGTCTGGCATTCGACTGAGTAAAACAACAAAGTTGGGCACATTAGGGTGCAATCGCATTTAAAAGGCTGGTTTGAATTAAGTCAAAATGATAAATGAACATTTGTTAAAGATACTTGAAAACCAGACAAAACTAGCAGGACTGTACACCCGGCCGGCAGTGCCTTTTTTAAGGAATTTTCACTGGGGGGGGGCAAAGCAGGAAAAAAGGCAGAACGAAAAATATGAGCCGTCGAGGTTTGGCGAACGCGCGACTGGCGCGAGTCTGAAGAGAGGTTTTGTAAAACTTTAATTTATTAACTTCAGTATATTTTACTTTAATTAAACAATAACTTCAACTCTTTGTAGCTATAATCGTACAGCTATAACCAGTGGCGTAGCCAAACCTTGGCCGGGGCACGAGACAGTGTAGGAGGGTCCGGGGTCCGGAAAATTTTGAAATCTAGGGTCCCTGAATTGCGATTTCATGCATTTTGGGGGTGAAATCTAGCAGAATTCCGAAGATTGTAAAGTACATCGAAGACAAGAATTTTTCTAGACATTTCTACTCGGAATTAAATAAATTGGAAAAGTCACCTTGAAAAATAGGAGGAGGGGTCAGTGTCACCTTATTTTCTCTCTGTGATGCTGGGGGGTGGGGGGAGGGATCCCAATGTGATTTTGATCAGAAATGTTGCATTTAAATCATTTGAGGTTCTATGAGACACCATTTCCGCATTCTCAAAATTGCATTATTCAAAATTGCATATTTCATACGATACAGAATAAGTCTGAAAAGAAATATTCATGCTATGATGATGCATACATGTATTTAACAGTTAAAAATCTAAACAAAATTTATTCTTCTTGGAACCATATCTACAACTGCTTTAACGAAATTTCACAAATCAAGTTCCTCCAGTATATCGTCTTTTTCCTCAGTTGAGACGTACTTAATCAGTTTCAGCTTCGGGTATGTAACGTGTACCCCCCATCCCAAATTTCTCTACGGATTTAGCCTTTCCGAGAGAATGGTTTTTGTGGCGATTGGGGGGGGGGGGCTCTTAATATAACTGATTTTTTAAGAAAAAAATTTTGCAATAAAACCTCCCAAAACGAAACACAATGCCTCTGCAGAGGAGAGTGCTAGGAAGTAGTCATAAGGCTTGGAAAGGCTAGCATTTTATCGGATTGTTTGCATGAAATCTATCGCTATTATGAAATACTCGGTGAAGAACAATAGGGCCATTCATACGGGCCAAAATAAGACGCAACTTACATAAGATGCGACTTAAATAAGACGCGAGTTTGTCGTATAAAAGGTACAAAATAACTCCGCTTATATAAGATGCGTCTTATGTAAGTCGCGACTTATTTTGTCCCGTATAAATGGCCCTAATATGAATTACACACAAGATGGCTGTGGAGGAGGCTCGGAAGGGCATAATCTCATCAAGTAAATCAACTGCAATTCTGACAGCAATCATGAGAAATTCTGCTTCGCACTTTGGGGGCAGAAATGGCTTTACTGTAAAATTTTCCTGTGCAACGTCTCCAGATATATAGTTAAAAGGCACTGCACTAAAGCGGTGGGGCAACTACCAAACCGGTATTTACGAATTTTAGAACCACATTATTAATTATTCTTGGATATTTAGACTTTCGGCATATAGGCTTTACTGCCTCCCTCTCCTGCGTACGGCCCTGAAAACTAGGGATGCAGCTGAAAAAATAGCCCGTTGAGGGCAACAAGAAATATGTTATGCTTGCAAATTCAAGCTATTTCATGTATGACAACTCGTGCAATAGTTTGGCGAAATCACCACAGTGAGAAGAGAGTCAAAACAAATTGGCGTAAACATGTTTAATAATATAGTCTAGTATTTAATAAAAAGATGGACATGTATAATTCAAAGTCGAGAATCATATATAGTCATGAATAGTCGATTGCCACAGTTCCATATAGTACTGAGAGACAATATTATTACAATTATATTACAAATATAAACCTCAAACCTTACCGAGATTTCGATTTGAGTTAAGGTTGGACATGTCGTTTTTCTGATCTTTCCTCGTGCTCAGTGCTCACCAGTAAGTAAAATATTTGGCGTTTGCGGTTTGCCAAAACAAGCCGTATTTCCGGTTTTAAAGTCTGAAGGTCAAACTTTCAGAAATCAGAACCAATCAATAGCCTTCCCGTCTCATTTCCCGCCATTTGCATTCATTCATTGTAAATCAGTGAACTATATACATATTTACCGAAATTATTTCGCGAATATTTTGTGATATTTTGCAAAATGACGAAAATTTTGCGAAAAATTGTCGCGCGGAAAATTTGAATTTTCTTAAAAACTAAATTCAAGATGGCTTCCTCCACAGGCAGTGATGATGACGATTCTACAAAAGGAAAAACAAATGAATGGCAAGAAAGTTCTCAGGTTTTGCATATTTTTTATTTTGATGGTATATATATACATTTAATGGACATTTTTGGGTGGTCATATACAGTTTTAGACCCTTTAAACCAGTCCAACCGTTCAGTGGCGTAACGTCAGGGGGCCCCCGGTTCAAAATTTTCGAAGGCCCCCTAGTTATTAGTAGAAGTACCAAAGGCACGAGTCGAGCGCCGTATGTGCACGAGTTTTCTAGGGGGTCCATGGCATGGTCATCCGGAAAATTTTTGAATCTAGACTCTCTGAAATGCCATTTCCTGGACTTTGGGGAGAGATTTTATAGAATTCTGATGGTCATTTGGGTTGGTGGCCCCCGGGTCCACCCGGTCTGAGCCCATAGTAGTTACGCCACTGCAACCGTTGCACTTGCACTCAATTATTTCCCTTGTTTTTTTTTAATATAAATAATATGCTGCCGTTTTATATCATACATTGAAATTTCATTAGATTTTGACCGTGGAGCAGGGTGGTTGGCTGGATTTCAGCCCCACCAATTATTTTTTTTTTCAATTTTCGATATGTTAGTACATACTATTTCTGTATTTCACAATGATCATTAAAATTATAAGCATTTTCAGCCATTTCAGAGGCTCTATAAAATTTCTCCTGGGGGAGCATGCACCTTCCATACTTGTTAAGCCCCACCTTAAATCACATTCCACGGTCCCTGGGGTACGTCATAAAAAATTATTGTTTTAATATTTTACTTGTACTTTTAGGCAACTTCAAGTCCAACAGATAACTCAAAACAGGTTTCTGGGACTGATGCAGAATTTTTGGGTACTAGCATATTTAATACTAAATATTTTTGGTATCAGCATATATCTGGAAAAATTATACCAATTATTGTCAGTATACTAGTTCTTGGGCTGTGGAGATTTTCAGGGGCGTAGGAAGCGCACAGTCCCCAATATTTTATAAGGGGGGCACAGGATAGCTTTCGCCCCCAAAAAATTGTTGGATTTAAAAAAATAATAAAAAATTACTGCGAAATTCTCAAAACTGGAAGTATTAGAAACTGTAGGGGTGCACCGGATTCCAATTCCGGACGGATTTAACGAATCTTCCGGCATCCGGTCGGATTTGGAGAAAATCCGGCCGGATTTAAATTTCTGTTTTCGCCTTAAAAATGAAATGAGATAAACGGATGAGAATGGGATAAACCATCAATTTGGCAGCTTTAAAGTTTTAAAAAACACTTATATTATTATAAAATATTAAGTTATAAACAAAAAAAATATTTTAAAAAGGTTTAAACACAATCAAAAACATGGGCGTACCGGAAGGAAAAAATTAGGGGGGCGGAAAGAAAATTGCCCAACTTTTCGGGATTCTGCCCGACTAGTACCAAAAAAAATTTTCCGGAAAAATTATTTTGGCGACCTCTCACCCCCCCGTGGCCAAAAAAATTTCGGTCAGTGTACCATTTTAGGGGTCAAAAAACCAATTTTTTCGGAGCATAACACAAATTTTCGAAAAATCACAAAATTTGCCAAAAAAATTACTTAATTTTAGACAAAATTTACAGAATTTGTCCCATTTTTTTTTATTGCAAACCAAAATTGCCCGACTGTTGATCGAATATTGCCCGACTGCCCAAAAAACTGGGGGGGCTACCGCCCCCCCCCGCCCGGTACGCCTATGATCAAAAATCTAAACTGACACTAACTAAAAATAGTAAAAAACATAAACCGCCATTTTGAATACTGATTTATTCCCAATTGTCCCCATTACCGGTTTATCTCAAATCCGGCCGGAATTCCGGCCAGAATTTTTGTCCAAATCTGGTAAATCCGGTGGTTCCGGCCGGATTTGAAAATTCCAAATCCGGTGCACCCCTAATTGTTTATTGTTATTTTAATAACAATTTTTGTTTGCCTTTTGTCATTGGATGTTTTTGGTCTATGCTGCTTGTTAGGCAGTGGTATTTACTTGTTCAAATAGTTATCATCTAACATAGTAGCAAACCATAAAGTAAACATAATTATAGCTTACAAATCATAATGTTAGAATTTGAACAAGCTTAACGAAAGTGCTAAAGACCCTGAAAATGCCATTTCCGACGATCTGGAGACTCCAAATTTTCAAAAGTTTTCCAGCTCGGGGCCAAGCATGGTGACGCATTGTGGGAATCCCCCCCCCCCCCCCTA